GTGGTATCTCATTGTGGTTTTTATTTGTATTTCCCTAATGATTAGTGAGGTTGAACATTTTTTCATATGCCTGTTGGCCATCTGTATGTCCTCTTTAGAGAAATGTCTCCTCGTATGCTCTGCCCATTTTTTAATTGGGTTGTTTGGCTTTTTTGGTGTTGAGTTACATGAGTGTTTTATAAATTTTGGATATTAACCCCTTATCAGATATATCGTTGACAAATATCTTCTTCCATTCAGTAGGCTCCTTTTTGTTTTATTGATGGTTTCCTTTGTTGTGAAAAAACGTTTAAGTTTGACGTAGTCCCATATGTTCATTTTTTCTTTTACTTCCCTTGCCCGCGGGGATGTATCAGTAAAACTATTGCTTAAGGTAATGTCTGCAAATTTACTCCCTATATTTTCTTCTAGGAGTTTTATGGTGTCAGGTCTTACATTTAAGTCTTTAATTCATTTTGAATTTGTTCTTGTATATATCGTAAGGAGGTGGTCCAGTTTCATTTTTTTGCATGTGTCAGTCCAATTTTCCCAGCACCATTTATTAAATAGACTATCTTTGCCCCAATGTAAATTCTTGCTTCCATTGTCATAGACTAATTGTCCGTATATGCCTGGATTTAATTCTGGGATCTCTAATCTGTTCCATTGATCTATGTGCCTGTTTTTATGCCAGTACCATTTTGAATACTGTAGACTTGTAGTATGTTTTGATGTCTGGTAGCATGATACCCCCAACTTTATTCTTATTTCTCAAGATTGCCATGGCTATTCAGGGTCTTTTATAAATTTTAGGATTATATTTTCTATTTCTGTGAAAAATGCCCTTGGTAGTTTGATAGGAATTGCATTGAATGTATATATTGCCTTAGGTAGTATTGACATTTTAACTATAATAATTCTTCCTATCCATGTGCATGGTAGATGTTTCCATTTATTTGTATCTTCTTTTATTTCTTTCTTCAGGGACTTATAATTTTCTGAGTACAGGTCTTTTACTTCTTTGGTTAAATTTATTCCTAAGTTTATTCCAAAAATTTTATAGTTTTTGAAGCAATTGTAAATAGAACTGTTTTCTTAATTCCTCCTTCTGATAGTTTATTATTGATGTATACATATGCAACTGATTTCTGAATATTGATTTTGTATTTTGCTACCTAACTGAATTTGTCTAGCAATTGCAAATGGAACAGTTTTCTTAATTCCTCATTCTGATAGATTATTGGTATATACAAATGCAACTGATTTCTGAACATTGATTTTGTATTCTGCTACTTTACTGAATTTGTCTATCACTTCCAATAGTTTTTGATGGAGTCTTTGAGGTTCTCTCTATATAGTATCATGTCATCTGCATATAATGACAATTTTACTTCCTCCTTACCAATTTAGATGCCTTTTATTTCTTTTTCTTGTCTGATTACTGTGGCTAGAACTTCCAGAACTATGCTGAATAAAAGTGGAGAAAGTGGACAGCCTTGTCTTGTTCCTGATCTTAAGGGGAATGGTTTTAGCTTTTCCCCATTGAGTATGATGTTAGCTGTGGGTTTATCGTATATGGCCTTTATTATGTTGATATTTGATCCCTCTCTTCCCACTTTGCTAAGAGTTTTTATCATAAAAGGCTGCTGTCTATCTTTAATTTTTCAAAATCTGTGTTTTCATCTACAGGTATTTGTATTTGTTTCCTAGGGCTGCTGTACCAAGTTACCACAAATCTGGATGGCTTAAAACAAGAGAAATAGCTTCTTTCACAGTTCTGGAAGCTAGAAACCTGAAATTGGGTGTTAGCAGGGCCATGCTCTCTTTGAAGGCTCTAGGGGAGGATCCTTCCTTGCCTCTTCCTAGCTTCCAGTGGTTGGTGGAAATCCTTGGCATTTGTTGGTTTATAGGCGCATCACTCCAGTCTCTGACTCTCTCATCACATGGAGTTTTTCTTGTGTGTCTTCGTGTCTCTTCTCTTCTTATAAGGACACCAGTCATATTGGACTCAGGAGCCACCCAAATCTAGTACAACCTCATCTTAACTTGATTGCATCTGCAAAGATTCTGTTTTCTTTTCTTTTTTTATTTTCAAATTACAGTTGATATACAATATTATACTACCTCCAGGTGTGCAACATAGAGATTAGACATTTATATATCTTACAAAGTGATCACCCCGTTAAGTCTAGTACCTATCTGACACCATGTAAAAATCCGTTTTCAAGTAAGGTCACAACGATAGGTACAAGGGGTTAGGACTTGAACACATCTTTTCAGGGGGACACAATTTAAACCACAACAGCATTAAAATTTTGCTTTTCACATTTAGGTCTTTAGCTATCTGGAATTTATTTTTGTGTTGCTCTAAAATAACTTTTTTCATATGAATAACCATATTCAAATAACCATATACCAAATAATCTCTCACTTCTCCGTAGACATATATCATTTCCTTAGATGTATGAATCTATTTATAGACTTTCCATTTTGCTTCCTTTTTCTATTTATCTTTCCCTACACAAAGTCCACACTATCTTTATTGTGAAAGCTTTAGAATATGTTTTGGTATCTGTTAGAGCAAGATTATTCTTCTTTAGAATTTCGTTGGCTATTTTTAGCTCTCTACACTTCCATGTAAATTAATATATTTATTTTAAATTCTCTTTCATATTGCTCTATTCTCTATAGTTCCTGGGGTATGAATTGTTCCATTGCATCTGCAGACTCTTTCTCATGACAGTTTATAACATTTATTTTTCTAATTCAATTTTTTATTTTGAAATAATTGTAGAAGCAGATGCAGTTGTAAAAAATAATACAGAAAGTCCATGTATCCTTCACTAGTAACACAAAACTATAACACAATATCACAAACAGGATATCGACATTGACCAAGTCAAGATACAAAACATTGCCACCCACAAGGATCCCTCATGTTGCCCTTCTTTTTTTCTTTCTTTTTTTTTAATTGGGGAATTGGGGGGATGGGAACAGTGCTTGGGAATTGGGGGAAGGGGAACAGACAAGTTGCTGTCCTTTTGTTCTTCAGTCTAGTTGTGGAGGACGTTGCTTCACTGGCCCAAGTTGGCACCATCATTGCGCTCTTCCCGGATGAGGCAGATCAGTCGCCGGCTTCTGGACGGCCGCTCACTGCGGCTGCTGGCCGCTCACGCTGGCTGCTGGCTACACACGGTAGCCCATGGCAACCCACTGCCACAGGGGCTGCAGCCCACGCCGTCTCACAGCAGCCCAGCTCCAGGTTGAGCTGTTGTTCAACATCTTAGCTGTAGAGGGCAGTGTCACTGGCCCTCATATATGGGATCCGAACTGGGGCCCTCTGGCGTCCCAAGCCAGCTCTTAACCAACGCGCCACTCGGCCGGCCCTTTTTTTTTTTTAAGTGAATCACCAGCTTCAGTCCACCCTCAAGGGGAAGAGTGCATTAAGCTCCATTCTCTGGAAGGGTAGAGTTTACATACTCGTATATTATTTGGAATTCTTCGGTGAGAAAGATTTGTCTCTTCTTCCTCATTTATTTATTTATTCAATCATTTATTATCGATATGGACTCATGTACATTTGACACATACTTTTTCCTCCTTTTTTTCTACAATAATATTGTTATAAGATTTTTTCCCATGTTATCATGATCTTTATAGCCATCATTTTAATGGTTGCATCTATTTTGGGGTACTTTCCATTATTAACTTTGCATTCTTATAAATTATGCTGCAGTAAATATCTTTTATAACAATGTTCTATGATTCTTTGTATTCCAGCTCTGGCATGGCTTTCACATTCTTCTCTCAGCTTACCTTGTAGACATGAAGATTTTCAAATACCATGAGTATTTTTAGGACATAAACATCATATCGTCTGGTTTAGTCCCTGAAAAGGCAAAAGCTGGAATTTGAATAATAAAGTGAGTGAAGGACATTTGGAATGTTATCTACTCTGGTAACGCTACTGGGCAGAACAGAAATGGTTGCAGAGAAAGTAGCTGAGGGAGGAGAAGGGAGATGAGAACATTTCCATCACGTCAAGATTTGGGGGCATAACTACTACAGAGATTTGGTGGTAAGCAAAGAGATAAGACAGCTAGAGGGGAGGCAGTCAGAAGCAAGGTGAGAACCTAATCTCTGTGCCTTGTCCCACAGTGTACTCCCGATTATTCTTGTTCCCACTGAGAGGCAGGGAGGGAAAAACATCAAGAACAGAATGTTTCCCGAGTGGTTCTGTTCTCCCACTCCAGGAAGGGTTGTATCTGATGAATAGAAAGCTGATGAACAGTTGAAACCACATACACTCCAAGGGCGTGGGCACCCATAAAATCTGTGCATATTAGTCTCCTGTGGATGGCTGATCTGGGGAAAACAGCAGGGCCACCTTAAAGACAGATCATGCAATTAGACTAGGGCCCCAGGGTCAGTTGGCTTCATATTCATCTCAGATTTGGTGAGAGTTCTCTTGAGGCTCTTTTGTTTGGAAGAAACCAGGCCAGCTCATGCTGGTAGTTATAAGGTAGAAAACCGTTATTATCAAGGTCCACGTGGCAAAAACAAAAACTGACCAAATCATCTGATTACAGGACCCCAGTAACACAGGAAAGGGAGGCAGCTGGAAAAAGCATGTGAGCTGAGCCTGTCAGGGCCTCCTTTCTGCGTGACACCTGAGCATGCATTCTTCTGGCTTTATTTGGAAGGGTTTGTGCTGGATCTCTAGGGCTATCACTGGGTTTCTGCAGTGAAAGTGTTGCTGAGATTAAAGAGGACAGGTGATTGACAGTAGTACCTCAGGGCCATTGCTGCAGCAAAGGCGATAGTTGTCAGGAAGGACCCTCAAAGGGTCATTTCTCTCCATTTGCCTCCACAGAGAACAGTCAGTTCCTTACATTCGAATGGCCAACTGGCAATTCATTCATTGATTTCATTCATTCACTTGTTTGTTGTTCTATTAGGGAAAATACTAGAAAACAAGGTTGTGTGGGAGTGATCAAGTAGGAGAGTTAGAGTACCAAGGGCTCACAGAGGGTGAGTAGAGTAGAATGTAGTCAGGGAAAGATGCAATGTGGATGAGTTAGCTCTTTAAAGGAGAAAAGATCAAGGTGTATCTGCGAAACTGCTAGTAGTTCAGGGAATGGCGGGAGATTAGTCTAGGAGACTGAAGTGTGGCCATGTGCTGAAGATCCTTCATGTGCCAGGGGAAGGAACTAAACTTTATCAAATGGGGAGAGAAATCCTGGTGAGTTTTAGGCACAGAGTGTGACCCACAGTAATGCTTTCTGTCCTCCCCACTGCTCCAATCTCCTTATCCCCACTATGGAGAGAAACTTGGCTTTACTGATCAAAATTATAAATGCATATACCTTTTGCACCAGCCATTCCATTTTGCAGAATTATCCTACAGATATACTTGTACCTGTGTGAAATGATATATGACCAGGATTTTCATTGCAGCATTATTTATATTCACAGAAGATTAGAAACAACTTAAATGCCCATGAATATGTAATTGGCTGAAAAAATTATATTGGAAGATGCGTGCAGCTATAAAAAAGAATAAGGAAACTCTTCATGTCTGATATAGAAAGCTTTCTAAAATATACTGTTAGGAAAAAAATCAAGGTACAGAAATGTGTATATAGTATGCTAAGTTTTAAAGAAGGGTGAAAAATAAGAAAAAAACATAAATATGTATCTATATATATAGTTTGCTTGTATTTTCATAAAGAGACTGTAAGGATAAACAGAAAATTAATGAGTAGCTACCAAAGCGGGTGAAGCAGAAACCGGGCATATGGGTACAGAAATACAAGGAGGACTTTTCCCTGTATCTCTCTGTGCGGACTTTAAGCACGTGAACGTATCAGAAAACTAAGTTTAGATATGATTAAACAAATGAGAGACAGAGAGAGAGAAAGCTCTTTCGTTCCCTTTCCCTCTGCACACCTCATTACTTTCCCTTTGTCAGGGATTTCTCTTAGTTAGATCTGTGGTTACAGAGCCTCCAGTGGTTAAGGGAGAAACATACAAATTCTCTTTTAGTCCTTGGTGTAGAAAGACCCACTGTTGGCATCTATGTTGAATTTCTGTCTTCAATCCGAAGTAGAAACAGGCTGGAGGTGAGGGGTGGAGGAGAGAAAAACGCCCTGTACTTCCTTGTTCCCCCCTTACCTCTGCTGGTGCTAAAGCAGGTGCAGGTTTGCTGTGGAAACTTGGGGGAGCAGCTGGGAGGCTGGCTTCTGTTCCTGCAGTGGGCCAGTGGGGAGATAAAACCAGTTGGGAGCTACAGGCGTCACTCAAAGGAAAGCAGGTGAGCAATTCCGGGGCTGTGAGAGAAAAGGACAGGACTTACCTAGGGCTTGGTGCCTCAAGGTTACTAGTCATCTGTGCGGCGCTGCTGCCGTTCCAGACTCGCGTCTAACTGGTTAGACGTAACATCTCAGAGGGCTGGTCACGAAAACTCCCACCTACACTCTAAGAACCTTTCCCCAACCCAAGGTTTATTTTAACACACTGCTTCTCACCTCACTGGTCTGGTATTCGGTGCACCTGCAAAGTCAGAGCACAGCTCTCTGCTTTCTGTTCCTCCTGCAGCAGCAGTTCACAGAACTGAGGGAGGCAGGGTGTATATACACAGCACAGCCTCACTCCTCTACGCTGCTAGTAGTGCCAGGCAGGTTCTTTCCTTTTCAATCACATTCATCTTTGCTCCCAAGGACATAAAGCTCACAATGGGAAACCTTGGGCCATCTGGCAGCTGCTATCACTAAACCTTTAAAAGCAAGCAGTTTGATACCCTAGAGACTAGATAGTTTGATACCCTAGAGAGTGGATACACGAGAGGACTGTAGTTAATCAGGGCAGAAGAGCCAGCAGGATAAGGTGGGCACAGTGATCCCATTCTCCCATATGCTAAACCAAAAGTTCAAAGGAAAAGGGAAGCAGAGTTCAGCTTCGCTTAAACCAGGGTGCTATAAAGACTATGCCTGGGGCGGCCGGGTGGCTCAGTTGGTTAGAGCGCATGCTTTTCACAACAAGGTTGCCGGTTCGACTCCCACATGGGATGGTGGGCTGAGCCCCCTGCAACTAGATTGAAAACGGCGACTGGACTTGGAGCTGAGCTGTGACCTCCACAACTAGATTGAAGACCAGTACTTGACGTGGAGCTGATGGGTCCTGGAAAAACACACTGTTCCCCAATAAAGTTTTTTAAAACTTAAAAAATAAAGATTATGCCTGCTCTTTATACCATTAGAGGGCATACATAGTAACCCTGAACACACTTGGGGCCACAGAGAATGATGAATGAATAACAGTCAATGCCACAAAGGATGACTGCCCACCTCACAGTTCCCCTTTCTTTGGGGTGTGTCCCAGTCAGTAGTCAGGGGTGAGTCCCCAACATAGCCATAACTCTACTCTCTGGCCTGCCTTGCTGGCAGCAGTTTCGCAAGGATGCAAATCTTGCAGCTGAGGTTCCCAGCGTTACCCTGGTCTCTGCCCTTCCTGAGACTTGTTAATTTTTCTTGGATTCTGTAATTTATACCAAGATCTTTCCAATATCTTGCCCCCAGTCTTTTGTTTCCTGCTTTAAAATGTCAGTTAGAAGAGAAGATGTGAAATTCATCTTGTTTTTTTGAGGCTTCTGGGTAATGAGGTGTCAGTGAATGACGCTGATATGCCACACCCTAGTCCAAACAAACCATTTCTCTCCTGAATGATGGCAGCCATCTCCCTAGAATATCCCACTGCTTCTGCTCTTGCTGCACTCTATTCTCTGCAGAGTGGACACTGATTTTTTTTACCAGGTCAGCCAAGTCTTTAACGGCTTTCCAATGTTCTTCAAATAAAAATAGAAAATCCTTAGTAAGTCCTTCTTGCAGTTCTTTGCCCAAACTCCTCCTATCTTAGGACCATCACATGTGCAAATCCAGGTCTGGAGCCCTTTTCTCCCTACTCTGAGCCTCATTCTTTGGGTCTTGGTTGAAGTATCACTTTCTCAGGGGCCTTTACTTGTCTCCAATCTAAATTAGGTCCTCTCGTTATTTATTTTTTTAATAACATCTACTCTTTTCCTTCATAGCTTTCTTTATATATATATATATACTTATTTTATATGCATATATAATCCAAATATATATATATTTATTTATATATGTGTATATAGATAGATAAATTTAAGTGTACTTGTGAGTTTTCACAAATGTATAGTAATACTGCCATCAAAAGATGAAAAAAGTTACATCACCCAAGAAGGACATAGCTCTTATTACAGCTTGCAATTACACTTTCATTTTGGTGACTTTGGGCAATGTCTGTCTCCTCCCCAAGACTCTAAGTGCCTTAAGGGTAGGGACTGTCTCCATTTTGCCCCCGAGCCTAGCAGAAACCAGCATACAATAGGTTCCATTTGATGGATGAATAAATGGAAAGAGAATGGCATGGATGGAGATCTTTGAGAAGTAAGATAAGAACCTGATGTGTGTGCTAGTAGTAAAAAAAGAACAAGACAGGTTTATTTTAAAGACAAAAATCAACAGAGCTTAATGACAGGTAGTGGGAAGGAGATAATGCTTTACTAGGCCGAACATGCCACCTGACTCAGAGAGGTAGGAGTCAAAGACAACTACATTTTTAAACTGGGGTGACTAATGGCTTAGTTTGGGGAAATAAGATATTTATATGGGTTTTAGATATATCAGTTGGAGATGACCAAGGGACATCGAAGGGGACATGTCCAGAAAGTTGCAGGGTGGAGCTGGAACTCCAGCGGGCCACAGGACAGAAACTCAAAGCCAATGGGACTAAAGCATCTAAGACAATGCAGGTATTGTGGAGAGAGAAGTTTACCTCACTTTAAGTGATAAAGGGATGAAGAGGGGGCACACCCCATGCACTGGAAGGGGCTGTGTGCCACAAAGTCTTTTATACATTAAGGAACAGAAATCCAGAGAGGTGGAGTGATCTGCTCAACGCCACACAGTAAATCAAAGATGAAGCATTCCTACCCACATTTCCCAACGTGTAAGGTCCAGTTTTCTTGGCATTATAACACAGACACCGCCTGAATTTTCAGACATGCCTGCTGTAGTGGACACTCATTACCATTTCCTAATAGTCAAGGCAAGCAAATAAAAGGCAGAATTTTCTTTCTTTAGTTTATTAAAGATGACCATGAGCGGTTAGGCTGCGTATGAATTACAGCAAGTAAAAATCCAGTTCAGAACACGAGTTGTACACACACACAGAACATCTCTATTTAGACTCTTGCTCCTTTTATGTTAATTCAACAAAAGCTCTAGAGCATTGGCAGAGAAAGTCAATAACAGCCTCATTTAAGTGGAAAACATTTGTCTTCCACTCTTCTGCTATGTCTTGAATCTTGTCTCTACCTTGTAAGCAAACTTTCCCCCCCTTTATTTATAGAAAAGACCACTTCTTCCCTCCCATTTCATTCAGAAGGAACTCTCCTCAGTGCATTCAATGCTTCTCCCCACAACAGCAGGGGATATTCAGATACTGGTAAGTTACAAAGTGCTTTCAAAATATCCCATCCTCTTTCCTCTCTCCCCCTAGTCTCAAATAAATAAATGGGTATTTGGACAGTGATGACAGCAGGGTGTCAGGGTCACAAAAACAGATATGCAACCTAAAGGGATGGGGGTGGGAGTAGATAGAGAAAAATAAGTGAAAAACCAGGAACATGGAAGATTGTTGATCTCAGCTTTAGAAACTGTCAGTATTTTCCATCCTTTGATCCTGTGCTAATGTAAAACAGGCAGGACTGTAGTGAGAGTACGTCTCTCCTCCAGTGTAGTGACTTGGAGTAAGGAACTGGATTTGTAATATCAACCAAAACTGGAAGTAGAGCTCACCATTTTTACAAACCCCTAAGTCTGAATCTGAGGCCTAACTTCACTGAAACTTGAGTTTTGTGGGGTTATTCCCAAAGCTCCCTGAAGGACAAGGGAGCTGCTAGTCAACCCTTCAGAACCGGGCTGGGCTGGAAGCCTTGGCTTTCAGAGCCTCCCCCACGAACTAAAGGGAGAACAGCCTGAGGGTCTTCCAGCCTGGTGCAGCCTTCAGGTCCCCAGTTTGAGGCAGAGGGACCGATGCCATGCACAGTTCCTCCCTGCTCCCTCTGGCCCACGGGGAACTTGGCTCTGGCCATTGCCTTCCTGCCCCTTCTGCTTCCTGTGAGACTCCTTGTGCTTCCAGCTCAGGCACTTCTCAGCTTCCACCAACCATAAGCAACTTTCTGTTCAGCTTCCTGGGGCAATGCACACACCAAGTTTTTTTCTACTAGCAAGCAGCTATCCAAAGACAGGTAGGTACACAGGAAGAAGAGAAGTCAGTCCCAGAACAAAATGCTGTGGGTTTTAGTTCACAGAGCTGCCAGCCCTCAGAGCAGCGACCCTCGCCAGTGTTTTACACACAGGTCAGGGGCTACAGCAACTTCAAGAACACTGCAAACACATACATGGTCCTGTCAAAAAAATCTTCCCATCAAGACACACATTTAAAAAAGGAGTATGTTTGTTAAAATTAGTAATCTGAAAAGGATGATTGAACATATGAGTATCACCAGGCTAAAGAGTTAAGTGCATAATTGGCATAAAGGCTCTTGTTCTACCAAGAACACAAGAACATTCACACTCACATCCACAATTGGCAAGTTCTCTAATGCCACTGATAGCAGGAAACTTTTCCCCCGACTTTGACAAAAAACTAAGGCAGGAGACCAGCCCCAGGAAGGGTCCCAGCTCTGTTACAGGAAGGGGAGAGACAGAATGGAATTGGGCCACACTTCTACTCAGAACCACAACAACCATCTAACAGAGGACATAAAGTGGCAAGAGGACACAAACAGTTGGTGGATGGGGTTTCTGTCCTGCGTTTAGGATGGCATCAGGGACTTGCCTGAGGTTGAAAGATCATACCTGCACCAGAGCTAGAGACCCTGTCACCTAAGAGGAGGCCAGCAGCTCCTCTGACTGAGTAAATTCTCCTTAAACAACGAGTTGTAGCCTCCTTTAGGCTCAGTGTAAGGCTATGAATGGGCCTGGCCTATGTATCAGTGCCGTTCTAGCGTCAAGCCCACCAGGGTACAGTCAGCTGTCACATCATCTATGCCTAGAATACTTCAAACAAGGAAGTCACGGCTGCCTCTTTGAGGTTTCTATGGATTCCAGGGTCAAAATAGTGCTGTTTTTATGGCCTCAAAAATACCTAAGTAAGCTGGACAGAATGTCCACAATGTAGTCCCATTCTCTGCCACTTCTCCTCAGGGTGTGGTCTGACCCTATTCCAGGATTAGGAGAGAGAAAACTCCATCCCCCTGTTTTAGCAGCAAAGGAGAAGTGCGTTGGTTGAGAAAGACCTGGCTCAGAAGCTCCAGAATGAAAACAAAATAAAACTGGAAATGATACTTAGGATGCAGCAGAAACCAGATCTGGTCCAATTGGAGAAGGCCATGGATGTCAGAAGAACTGGGTCTCACTGTCCATTCCCCTGACAGAGGCACTGGAAGCTTCACTCAGGGGCTCACATGTCAGTTCTCATGGAAATACCTGGTATCTACAAATTGTCACAACAGACTGGACCCCACCAACCCAACAGAGGTTGGCTATATATGGACATTAAACATATAATAAAAAAAATAATAATGATAATTAAAAAAAAAAAAAGTGGATAAAGTCCTTAAAAGGGTGGCTCAGTTCTGCATTCTGTGTGACCCTGGCCCCTAGGAAAAGGGCTTCACGTGCTTTCTTCAGGTGGTCTCCAGGACGGTGGCCTCAAGGGCCAAGGCTTCGGTGGGTTCCTCCTCGTAGTCGGACATGAAGGACTCCAGGCTCTGCTTGGCCAGCAACTCCCGCCGGGCCTGTAGCCGCTCACATCGGGGACAGCTTCCAGACTTGAAACAAGCTTTATGGTAACATGCTTTACACTCTGTTCA